TATTTATTATAATGTCAACTGTCAAAATGGCGTCGATAAAGCAGCGCCTTTTTGACTCTTTATTATTGATACGAGGGTGGATTGAAAAGTACTCGGCCTAACCAAGAAAATAAACACATATTAAATCAGTTATATTTTTATTTTTCTACATAATCACCATCAAGTTCAATACACTTTTGCCACCTCCCCTTCCAAGCATTTATACTGTTGAAAAAAAATGATTCTTCCTTAGAGTCAAAATATGTGTCTACAGCTGCTTTGACCTCGTCGTTTGTCGAAAATCTTTGACCTCCCAAGTGCTTTTTTAGGTTATGGAACAGAAAGAAGTCTGATGGTGCCAGATCAGGTGAATACGGCGGATGCGGTAACAGTTCAAAGCCAAAGTTGTGAATTTCAGCCATTGACTGTACTGACGTGTGAACACGGGCGTTATCTTGATGAAACAGGACTTTTCTTCTGAGCATTCCTCGACGTTTTTCTTTTATTTCCTCTCGTAAACGACGTAGTAAGGTGCAGTAGTAATCAGAGTTTATAGTCTGACCCCTTTCAAGATAATCAATCATAATCACACCTTTCGAGTCCCAGAATACTGAAGCCATCACCTTATTTGCCGACAAAATCGACTTAGCCTTTTTAGGGGTGGTGAACCAGGTCTTCTCCACTGTTTTGATTGTTGTTTTGTTTCCGGTGTACAGTAATGAACCCATGTTTCGTCCATAGTAACAAAACGATTCAAAAAATCATCTGCATCGGCTTCAAATAACTCCAAACAGTCGCGTGAAATAGTCAATCGCGTCCTTTTTTGTTCAACTGAAAGCAGTCGCGGAACCCACCTCGCAGACACCTTGTGGAAACCCAACTCGTTGACAATGATGTTTTGAGTTAGTTCATAAAAGATGCCTATAATCTCGGCTATCTCTCTAATTTTTAATCTGCGGTCTCCCATTATTAAATCAAGTACTTTTTTAATATTTTCGTCAGTAGTTGACGTCGAAGGCCTTCCAGAGCGGGGTTCATCTTTCACACTCTCTCTACCACGCTTAAATTCTGCTATCCATTTTTTGACGGATGAATATGACAAAGCACAATCGCCTAATGTACTGACCATGTCATCATGGATGGCTTTTGATGATAGCCCCTTCTTATGGAGGTACTTAATGACGGCACGCTGCTCGATTTGCTCTTGTTAATAAATTTATAAAATCACAACTAATTATCGCACACGTTTCGAACTTCACACAATGAACTAGTCTGAACTGAACTAAATAATGTGGGTAGATTTGATTTTTAGAATTGAATGGATCTGTGTTAGGCCGAGTACTTTTCAATCCACCTAGGTATACTAATGATGAGCTATCGTATCATAGAGGCATCTATTCAAACAACCGGTTTAACCGCCTGTAACTTTACAAGGCGCAGGTTCGGCCGCACATGGAATACTGTTCCCATCTCTGGGCTGGGGCTCCCCAGTACCAGCTCCTTCCACTTCACCGCATCCAGCGCAGAGCGGCTCGAATCGTCGACGACCGAGTGCTTTCCGATCGGCTCGATTCACTGGCACTGCGAAGAGATGTTGCATCTCCTTGCATATTCTTTCGCATATACCATGGAGAGTGCTCTGAGGAATTGTTCGGATTAATCCCAGCCGCCAAATTTCGTGAACGCAGTACGCGGCAAACGTCCCGATACCATCCACACCATCTGCATGCTTGGCGGTCCACCACAGTACGTTTCAAGAGGAGTTTTCTTCCGCGTACAACCTCTCTGTGGAATAGTTTACCACCAGCGATTTTTCCGGATCGATACAACCTGAGGACCTTCAAGAAAAGAGCGTACTCCTTTCTAAAGGGCCGGCAACGCACCTGCAATTTCCCTGGTGTTGCGGTTGATCATGGGCGGCGGTAGTCACTTAACATCAGGTGAGCCGCATGCTCGTTTGCCCCCTCTTCTATATATATATATATATATATATATATATATAAACCGGATCGTATTTTTCTATGACTCTTATCATCCCTTGAAACCCTTTAAAACTATCCGTTAGTGTTACAATAGATTAGTAAAACTATAATCTTCTTTCATTCTTCATTTATAGCCCCTAGCACGACTCGATACGTTAAAGACCTTTCTTATAGTTTCTAATTGTATTGACATGTGGCAGACCAGTGCTTCAGGCGGCCACTCTCAACGGAGACTAGATATTTGCGCAATATAGGATTAGAGAGAATACAAGCACAGGTACACTCTGTATTCTCTCACATTTATATTTCGATAGACATAATCTGATATACGATAAATATATTACGTGGTAGAGCTACGTTACTTATATTATGTTCATATGTGACAGGCCTGTTGGTCTAGTGGTTAGTGACCCTGACTGCTATGCCGGAGGTCGTGGGTTCGATTCCCACCCAGGACAAATGTTTGTGTGATGAGCACGATCATTTGTTCTGTGTCTGGGTGTAATTTATCTATAATATTTATGTATTTAGAAATATATAAGTATGTTTATCAGTTGTCTAGTACCCATAACACAAGCTCTGCTTAGCTTAGGACTAGATGGCGTTGTGTGATAGTTGTGGAATATTATTATATTATTATTATTATGTTGGGTATCTATATAGTTTTCTCATCTGGTTGGGATGTATAAATATATAATTATAAATGAAAATGAAAAGATAAATATACATAAATATTAATAAAATAAAATAAATACAAAAATACATAAATAAATAAAAGCCCAACCAGATGGAAGCCCTCGGCAGGGGGAGACCAAACGGCCGAGGGTTAGGGGGAAAGGGAAAGAAACCGGCGGACGATGCGGGCAGTATCAAGGAGCACCGCCTTCTGCATTTGAGCCCGGAGCGGTCCGTCACGGAGTCCCAGTCGCCTCAGATGACCAGAGAGGCTAACTGGGATTAGCCCATTCGCAGAGACGACTACAGGAATAACTTCGGTCGGCATACCACCCACCTGAAATACAGACTAACAGCATTAACAACAAGATAATAGATACCACCCCACATGTCGGTCACCTCGTGAGCCAGGTCCAGATACTTTGATTGCTTATCTGTTTCGGCTTTCACGAGGTTCTCGTCATACGGGATGGTAATATCGACCAAAAATATCCTTGACTGTGGCCGGTCCATCAGCACAATATCAGGCTTATTCGCAAGAATAGTCCTGTCTGTGATGATGGCCCGGTCCCAGTAGAGCCTGGCGCGGTCATTTTCGAGCACGGCTTCCGGCAAGTACTTGTAATACGGCAATTTCCGGTCCACGAGACCGTATTTCAGAGCGAGCTCCTGGTGTAGAATTCTGGCTACTAGGTTGTGCCTGTGCAAGTACTCAGAGTTAGAAAGCGCCGAACAACCGGAGATGACATGCCTAAGTGACTCCCCGGGATGGCGACAAGCTCGACAGACGTCGACGGTGCCATCCTTTAGGATGTATCTCCGATAGTTGTTGGTCTTAATAACCTGATCCTGTATTGCACAGACAAAACCCTCGGTTTCCCCGAAGAGGTCACCGAAACGTAGCCAGTTGAGGGAGGCGACTGTATCTACGAAGGGCTCATGTAGAGCCCTGTAGTACCTCCCGTGGAGCTCTTTCTCCTTCCATACGGTCTCCCGGTCGGAAATGCTAAGCACTGCTGGGTCCTGCTATTGCTCGTTGGCTAAGGATAGAGGGGTAAGTCCTTTATCACTAGAAATGACGTCATTATAGAATGGATCATCCGATCTCGCCAGGAAGTGATGACGGAGGCTGCACACTTTACGATTATGCATGGTGAGCGCGCTCAGAAAGCCACGCCCACCATGCTTTCGCGGCAAGTACAGCCTCATTACCGACGATCTCGGATGATGCATCCTATGGGACGTCATGGTAGTGCGGACTTTTCTATCCAGGGCGTTAAGTTCAGTCTGACTCCACCTGAGTATGCCAAAGGTATACATAAGGACAGGTATGACCCAACCGTTATATGCGTGTGTCTTATTCACACCGGACAAAAGGCTATTAAGCACTTTGGTCAAGCGTGCATAAAACACGTCGCAAACTGACTGTTTCATTCATTTCACTTTTCACCAGCCTCATCGATACCGATGTTCTGTGACATACCCAGGTATCGGTATGTTTCAGCCTCGGAAAAGGTCCTTAAGTTGACGGGCATAGATAAATCTATGCCTTAGCAACCCTTCCCCTTTCAACATGGAGGACCGCACACTTATCCGTCCCCAGCTCCATTCTAATGGAATTGCTAAATTCACAAGTGATTTTTAGCAATTCCATAAGATGGGAGCGACTGGAGGCGAATAACTTGAGGTCATCCATATAGAAAAGGTGGGTCACTTTTGTCCCTCCTTTCCGTAGCTGAAATCCTCTCCCGGATCCCTCCAGTAAGGTACTGAGAGGGTTCAGGGAGAGGCAGAACCAGATTGGACTCAGACAATCGCCCTGGAAGATACCCCTTCTTATCCTTATGTGGTTCTCCGCAGCCATCATCCGCTCACCCAGATGACAAAGGATCGTACTCCACTGCCCCATACACTGCTCGAGGAAGTCTCTCACTGTACAGTCTATCTTGTACAGCTCGAGGACTCTCTTTAGCCATGTATGGGGCACCGAGTCGAATGCCTTTCTGTAGTCTATCCAGGCGGCGGAGAAGTTCCGACGGTTGCGTTTCACCACTTTGCCAATGACCGCGTCAATGAGGAGTGGTTCCTTGGTTCCACGACCACCGACCCGAGATCCATTTTGAGCGCGTGACATCACCTGATTTAGCTCCAGGTGACGAGTGATTCTCGCGCTCAAAATAGATGTCAGTGTCTTATATATGGTGGGTAGACACGTAATGGGGCGGTATTTGCTCGGGTCTGTGGTAACTTGGTCTTTAGGAACCAAATGAGTGATCCCAGTAGTGAAGAGGCTAGGGAGCGACTTCTGGTTGAGAGCCTCTTGAAACTGTCGGGCGAGCACAGCGTGACACACTATGAACCCCTTCAGCCAGTAATGATGCAGCCGAGCCCCGGACTTTTCCAGTTCGGGGCCCTACGGACCACCTCAGCCACGTCTTCCGGCGTTATGGTGATGGGGTCCATAGGCGTATCACTCGCACCCTGGCTCGCCACAACTTCCATCCAAGGGCCCTCACTGTGGTTTACGGGCTCTGACCACAGGCCACGCCAGATAGCGATAATGTCAGCCTGATCCGGTCCTTGGCCCGCTCCACATAACTTTGGTCGCTCCAATGATTTATAGAGCCTCTTCTGATTACTCTGGAAGAGACAATTCTGGTTGAACCGCCTTGACCTCTCGGTAAATCGTCGAATCCGCTTCCCCCAAGCAGCGATCTTTTGTTTCAGGTCGTCTATGCGCTCCGTTAGTTTCTGCGTGATATCCGGCTGGGACAAACTGATATTTGTCCCAGCAAACGCCATCCTAACGGTGCGCATAATCCTCGGTCTATTATTACCCGACCTGAAGCTTATCAGTCTGCCGATAAGGGCCCTTGACTTTGCGATACGGTCCTCGATTCTTTTTCTCCAGGCTGGGATAGCGCTACTTTGTGGGAAGTTTGGCACCAATAATACGGCAAACTGCCACTGCGGCGCCAAAGAGAATTGAGTCCGTCTCGCAAAGGTCCCGGCTGGTTTCCAAATAGGTCACCAGCATTGGGTTAAGAGCCCTCACGACAGCCCGATTTCGCTTGCTTAAGGGTATGCGGGGAAGTCGCGGTCGATTTTCGAGAGGGGTGCTGCGCGTTTCCAAAATCGCCTCTTCCAATATACTCCTCATTTGCTCTAGTTCGTGGGAGACTATTTCATCGTCGTTCGAATCAACCACAACTGGAAGATCCATGGCGGCTTCCACGTGTGGATGCTGGTCTGTCGAATGTGGAGCTGCATCTCGAGCCATAGCCGATTCATTCGACGACGGAATAGCCTCACGTCGTAGTCGTTCGAGTTCGGCATCATCAAGTATTTTCGAGCGCATGATGTACCGAACTCGGTCTGCCAGGTTTTGTTCCGTGACGGGGATAGAAGGCTCCAGTTCACCAAAAAAGCAATGCATCCGAGACCTATACGCTATTCCCACAGTTTCTTCCCCTTTCGTTTACGTCCGCAATGCGTTTTCGTTCATAGATTTTGTCCAACGCATGCGACGTGCTCCACCAGCGGCGAGTGCCGCTTGCTGAGTCCGAGAAGACCCAGCCGACACCAAGCCTTCTGGTGGGGGATGATGGATGCGAGGGGCTGCTAGGTGATCGTGCAGCTCCTCGCGCTCGGCTGGCGGCCCGCATGCTGCCGCGTCCAACGCCAGCTCCAGACGCGCCCCGGCAACCCCCAGGCAGAGGCCCTATGCGCGTTCCTTTCTGTGTTTCTTCCATCATCCATTTTATGGGCGCCAAATAACGGGAGACGCCCAAACTCGGCATCGTTTCGTGGTTGGGTCATATGCACAAACGGACCTTTGCACCTACAATTTTGCCTAGGCACGGCGCTCACACCTCTTGGCAGGATGCTGACTGACTGCGCCGACGTAGCAGTTTTGTCACATAACTGTTACGTCAGCGGGCGATGGGGTCGTCACTTCCCTACGCCATTTTATTATTATTTGGGGTATCTATATAATTTTCTCACCTGGTTGGGTTCTATATATACAATATATATATATATATATATATATATATATATATATATATATATATATATATATATATATATATATATATATATATATATAATTATAAATTAAAATGAAGAGATAAATGTACATAAATATCAATAAAATAAAATAAATACAAAAACTACATAAATAAATAAGATCCAACCAGATGGGAGCCCTCGGCAGGGGAGACCAAACGGCCGAGGGTTAGAGGGAAAGGGAAAGAAACCGGCGGACGATCCGGGCGGTATCGAGGAGCACCGCCTTCTGCATTTAATCCCGGAGCGGTCCGTCACGGAGTCCCAGTCGCCTCAGATGACCCGAGAGGCTGACTGGGATTAGCCCATTCGCAGAGACGACTACAGGAATAATTTCGGTCGGCATACCACCCCACATGTCGGTCACCTCGTGAGCCAGGTCCAGATATTTTGTTCGTTTATCTGTTTCGGCTTTCATGAGGTTCTCGTCATACGGAATGGTAATATCGATCAAAAATATCCTTGACTGTGCCCGGTCCATCAGCACAATATCAGGCTTATTCGCAAGAATAGTCCAGTCTGTGATGATGGCCCGGTCCCAGTAGAGCCTGGCGCGGTCATTTTCGAGCACGGCTTCCGGCAAGTACTTGTAATACGGCAATTTTCGGTCCACGAGACCGTATTTCAGAGCGAGCTCCTGGTGTAGAATTCTTATATTATTATTATTATTATTATAGTTGTAGCATGAATGGGTCTGCTCGATCGTGGCAGGAGCACGCTCTCAGAATAAATCAGCATTTAAAATTGCAATTAACAATTTCATTGGTGCCGGCGGGGGTCGAAAACGGTTTTCTCGCGTACTGTGAAATTTACAGCGAGCGCTAACCATCTGAGCTACCACGGCTCTTTAATCGATCGTTCTCGTATTTCCATTTATTTATTACATAATTATAACATCATTACAGTTATATTAACCAATGCGATGCTATGACTAAATAATGAATCTATTGACATGATTATAACATAAAGTACTAATTAAAAAAACTAAAAAAAAGTTATAAATTTGCTGCGCCACGCTGCAGCTATATTATGGTTGCAGCACTAATGTGTCGGCTCGACCGGGAAAGGACCACGCTCTCACAGAATATCAGCGTAAAATAGCAGCTCAATGCCACTGTGTTTCGTATGGTAAGTGACCGGAGACCCTTTTATAGGAAACGAGGCATTCCATCTTACACCCGTATTTATAAACAAGTAAAAGTGATTACTTGAGTTAAAGTAAACGATAACGATTTGTATTCGATAGTTAAGTAACTGCTCCAAGTTAGAACTGTCAAAAGTTAGAATAACCAATAATCAACAGTAATAGTAAAAGTCGTCTCCTACGATACCTACGGGACGTAATGGGAATGCTGGATAATTTTATGCTACCACCACACGGCTACATATTATTATTAAGGATCACTGACTGCTACGTTGGTCTATCATAAACGCGGAGCTTCACGCCCGTGTCTAGGAAAGTAAATAAAGGTTTAGGTCCCGCGCCTGATCTCTCTCCGGTCGTGTCGGTTTACCGTCCCATCGGACTATGAGAGTGAGACAATAGAGTACCTGTGCTTGCGCATACAGTCGTGCAACGTAACCCTGTACCGCGCAGATGGCTAGACTCCGTTGAGGAAGGCCGCCGTAACAGAAACTCGGTCTGGAGAACATTATTTCTTTGATATCCTTCATTTATTGTCAAGAATGTCAAAGAAAAAAAAACACTTGTCAAACCACCCTATCACAACTTTGGAAGATAGTGAGATCGTTCTGGTATTTTACATAGTCGTGCCTTATTACACCTACGGAGAGTAACGTGCATGATGGGTTCACTTATACTGCGACAATATGGCTACAAATTGTAATTAAGGGTTAAAACGAAATAAAACACAGTAAATAATCATATGATTTGGTTTAATACAACACTAATTAAGTATATAATTTACAATGATCATAATGTACGCTCCCACGTTGGGCGCCATTGAGACGGAGAAGCATATCTTGAGTTGGACATCTCTTTTACACCCTCTCAAAAAACCTTTTCTCAAAATACGCTTTATTTAAACAGCGACAAACTGATACAAAAATAATTTTAATAACAATGAAAATAATATAAATCAATTCCAGACATTTTCAACTGTATTTTATTGCTAACTGTACTTCGACTTTAACAAAATCGGCGTTGTACATTTAAAAAATGTGTTATATTTTAACGGTCACAATATAAGGTTTGAATTGTAAATAATTATTGACAAAAAGTGGAACTCACAAAAATCACTCATAAATTGCTTACATATTTATCTACATATAGCATATTAATAGACAGGTCAACATGACGACAAATGTAGATATAAATAAATCCCACGACAAAACAAATGGGTCAAAACCGAAACGTTTTTATTTTACGGTTTAATTACTAAAAACTTATCATAAATGTACAACAAAATGGAATTAAAAAAAAACAAAAATCAACTTAATTTTAGTACAATTATATAAAAAATACAGCTCAACTTTAAACATAACCAGTATATAAAATATGTTTCTGTTAAAGAAAATAATAATAAAAAATCAGGCTGCCAAAAATTACACTTAAATTGCAACCATTTAAAAAAAACTCATGACAAAAAATGCAACCAGTACTGATCTTTACATCATTTTAAAAACATCTACTGCTTTTTATTAGAATATTATGTCTTTAAATGGTTAAATGCGATTGGTTACAGTGAGATATCAGTAAAGTTCGTAGTTTAAATAGTTACTATACATATATAATTGTGATATGATCGTTTTCACCCTCTTTTATTAAATAAGTTAATTATCTCGAACTATCCGTCGATCGAGTTACCATAGTAAATGCAGACATACCTAGAAATGCAATGTTTACACAGTAAAAAATCAAATATCGAATAATATGCGTACAGTGAAAAATTTTACTACTAACTTTTTTTTTCTCTAAATTTTCTACAACATGAACGATTTAATAATATATGATTTAATATAGTAAGTAAACGCTTACAAGAGCCTACAGTTTTTACTTAAACAATTTACAGCTCGTGATAATGTTAAATATTTACAACCTACCCTAGAAATGTAAAAATTAGACATAATCAATAAACAATTCCATGGAATCACAATGAAGCAACTTATGAATGGTACCACTTGTCTATGGCACGGCTTACAAACACAATAAAAAGGTGAAATTTAGTTTTCAGATCATTTTCCTTACATCACAAATCGAGCGTAAGATAAGCAACGTTGTCGCATTTGTAAAATGTGCTTCTGAGATCTCTTTACAATATACCTTTGCCTCTTCACTTACAATAAAGCCATTACTATTCCTAAGGTCAATTAAAAAAAATTCAAAACAATTATAAAACGAAACGCTTTGCGTATCTACGATTAATATGATGATAATTTATAGAAAAGAGAACCGTTGTGACGTTTAGACTTTTTTAAACAAACGTTATAAAAACGAAACAGTTAATCATACATAATTACGTAAACATATTTTATCGAATCATTACCTTGACTACATAAATGACGTTTACCAATTTGATTTTCTACAATAGTAAACGCTGACAGAAAACTATAAATAAAAATGAAATCAACATTAAGTCACGTGACTGATGAGATATATTATTTCCATCAATTTTTACAGCTTTATATTAACGTTTACGAGTTTAGTTTTCTACAATCGACAAGTGGCTAACCCCCCAGCGCCCTCAAGTGCCACTACGGTTCTCTTTCCGAACAGACTCCACCGTCATCGTTTTTAAACAGTTCAAATACAACTACTTATTGTTCTTAATTTTTGTATATTACAAATGATTAAATATTTTTAAATATTGATATGGACCTTTTAAGGTCGTCGACGCCGTAAGGTCGATTACGACCTTTTGCTACCGACACATCACTACTTACCTAGCTTACAATATAAATAACGTCTAACAATTCGAAATTTTTCCTAACTTATCTCAAAATGAATGGAAAAACAATGTTATTAAAATAAAAACTATAATACTTCAGTGTCCCGATAAAACCGGGCGACGAAAAATCGAACTCTAATAAATCATTTGGTTTAACTGACGAATAATTCTGAATCCCTACATTCGTGTTACCTTAATATAAAACTCCATCGTGAACACATTGTAAAAATGTCCTCTAAGTCAACTCGAAATCTACACCCGTACATATAATTATAAGTATTACATACTGTGATATACAGCTGGAAGCTACGACTACGCGAAAAACTGTCCATACGTAAATATAGCAAAAGAAATTAAATTTTCCACAATGTATTGCTCTTCAATAAGTTCGGAGTTACTACTTCCTTAAGTTGGATAAATCTTAAGTTGTTCACTATATTTGTTGGCACTAGAGAGCGTATAGACTTCTGCTTAGTCGAATTTAGCTTTGATTAAATTCGTAATTTCAATTTGCACTGGAATAGTGAGTGCATTTTTGCTCTCTTCATTATCACCATTTTGTTGGTAGTTTATTTGTCAGATCTCTGTTCATTTAGCGACAGATTCTCAGCTTCGTCTTTGATATGAGACATCGATGCTCGGTATCTGTCCTCTGGACGTGGATAGTCCTCATAAGGGCTGGGTTGGCTCGAGCGGTTGCTTGATGATTCCTTATTACTTGTATAGTCTGTGTGAGATAAATAAAAAAAAATCAGAATATTATCAGCATTTTAACGCCTCAATCCCAAAAAAAAATGCCCATGCAGTTGCATGCGACCGCACCCACCCGCAGTACTTAAAACCATTAAAACTTATATTTAGGGACTACTTTTTTATGAAGAAGTTTGGCATTATAAAATCTATATAAAATTCTCTATAAAAAAAGTCAGGTTTCACTTCATTACAAAAAGACTATTGTATTCTGATAACAAAACAAAACATACCAAGCGAATATCGGTAGCGTGAAAATCACAATTATTTCTATATATATTACTCGAAATTATTTACGTAAAAAGATAAATTATATTCACGAAAAAACACTTATAAAACACTAGAAAACACTAGAAAAATCAAAAAATCAACACAATAACATTCACGCGAAAATGGCGAACGAAATGAACGTATATTATAAATAAATATCCATAGGATAACTTGACTTTTTATTACACTAGAGTCTAGAGGACAGAAAATTTTATATTGATTCTTTAGTGCCAAACTTCTTCATGGAAAAGTAGTCTTTAAATATAAGTTATAATGGTTTAAAGTGTTGTGGGTGTCCGCGGTCGAATTCGACCGCTTGGATTTTGACGGAATAGCACCGCAGTCGAATTCGACCGCTTGGGGACTGAGAGGTTAAAGATATAATATCAAGAATTATATATACCTTCTGTTCGGTAAAATCGGAGAGGGAGGCCAGAATTTGCATTACACGTAAATAATTAAACTCAAATTCGAAAATTATTTATATTTGCATATTTCCTAAAGAACTGAGTGCGTTTAAATGTAAGAAACTTTAAATTAATGTCCGTTATTTTAGCAAAGCAAAGTTAGTTTTGTATTTTTAACACATAGGTACCTATAAAACCCGTTAAACTTGAAAACAAATAAGATTGGTTTCTTTTTAAATTTTACATTTTCCTTGCTTTTTATTTTAGATGATTTCAATTAAATAACAAAATAAAATATTAAATGCTCTTCAATCAACCACTTAAACAAACTCAGGTTTTTATAAAAAGTAAATGCTTGACCGTCAATAAAAAGATTTACCTTTATTGGAGTAATCAGAAGCCTGCATTTCATTTTTCAGAGCGTAAATATTGGGCTTAATATCTTGTCCGTCGTTAGCGCTAAGATCTTCAGCCTTCATTTCGTGAGTGGAACTGCTACTTCCATAGCCGTTCATCATTGGCGGCCGGCTAGAACACGATAGAAAATGCAATCATGTCGATACAAATAGTTAAAAAAGAGTAATGGATACCACTGAGCAGCTGAGCACAGCTTAGGACTGTGTATTTGCGGTATAAGAATACCCACCGCCCCATGTCGACCCTGTAAGTGCTGTGCAGCAGCATCTTCCCAATAAAAAAATATGTAGTTGCAAACTGCCTAGCAAACATGGCAACCATGACAAATGTAAAAAAGGAAAAAATGTATAATAATAATGTCCTCCTGACCGGATTTCGGCCACGGCGGCCTGTCTCACCGGAGGCTAGCCATCGGCGCAGGACAAGATTATAGTACCCAAGTGTATGCGCAAGCACAGGTGCACTCTCTATTCCCTCATCCTCATAATCCGATGGAACGGTAAACCGGTCGAGAGAGATCAGGCGCAGGACCAACGGCTTTACGTGCTTTCCGAGGCACGGGGGTGAGACACCGCCAACTTCCTCACTCCGGCAACTACTGAAATTTTCTTGACGGAAAAACTCAATAGAAAAAATGTATATGTATGAATCAATCCATGGGAAGGCCTAGTTCAGTATTGGACTTTTGACAGGCTATAACGGTAAAACCAGATAGTTAATGTACCACAACAGGATCAGCTTAATACGGTAAAAACCATGCCCTTACAGAAAATCAAAGCAAAATAGCATCATAATGCTGCTGTGTTTCGTGTGGTTAGGGATGAAAACCGAAGACCCTTTTTACCGTTAATGAGATTTTCCATTTAAATTGTCAATATCGACAAAGCATTAGAATTTCGATTCTTAATTGAAGATACATATGGGTCTAAGATACATATGGGTAAATAGATCAGAGCGCTATTTTGCATTTAATACTGTCTGAAACTGTCATAAAAATTGTCTTCTATAAAATTCTTGCAAATTTTTGTATCGATATCACGTAAAATAACAAAATGAATAAAGAGTTTAAAAAAAAACTCTTGGAAATATCCAACATATTGTTTTTCATGTTTTAAAAAGCATGACTAAAGAAGTAAATTGTTATTGAAAACAAAGAACCCCACTGTCTATTGTTAACATATAATAAAGGGACTGATTGTTAAAAATGTGTTCTTTATTGATATTGTATATAGTATTGTTAAGGTTTATTTGCATTGTTTAATAAAAGTAAATAGGGACACATACGTGCACGCATACTCGCAAAAATAACTCTCCTTCAGGACAGTCGGACAATAACATACACTACAAACAATTGTGGTCCTAACATAACTCCTGAAGTAAATAATTATAAACGCAGTACATGATGAAATAAATAAAAAACACATCTGTCTTATAATAGGGGTTGTTATTTAAATATTGTCGGAGCATAGACTAGTGAATATAAGTGAGCTATAAGACTATTAACCACAAGGGCTTACTATTACTTAGTTTTATAACGTACTTATTATCAACGTTCTGTATATAATCGACAGCTAAAATATTATATTATAAAAGGCAATAAAATTGGTAAGTAGAGTGTAAAAGAAAAATTAAACCTATTCCAAATTTATTTAAATTACATTTCACCAACCTCTTCTTGCAAGTGTCGCACCTTGTCGATTGACATATGTTGACCAACTAATGACGTAAAATCTGTCTAAAAACGCTATTTTCCTAATTTGTTGATAGAAAACATTTATAATATTTACAATACCATTTTTACGTTTTCCAACTCACCGGCCGCGTATTTTGAGTATGAGAATATCTTCCAAATAATAGTGCATCCTTGGAAAGGCCTATTTTCAACCGACGTCTCAAAAAGGAGGAGGTTTTCAATTCACTGAACTTTTTTATGTGTGGTTACCTCAGAACTTTTTTCTAGGTGAACCGGTTTTGATATCTATTTTTTATTTCAAAGCTGGTGCTTCTCATGTGGTCCCATATAAATTTTATCAAGATCTGACTCTTTGAGTGAGTGACTTTGAGTTGACTGAGTTTTAGAGTAATCCTTAATAATGCGTATTTCATTGACTTCAACTATATTGATGATCTCATTTTATTTATATTGAAGTCGATTATACAAACTATTAACATAACTAATACCTCCTTTAAACTCTCTAAGTAAACTTCAAATACTTATCTTAGGAGTCCTTGACAGACATTTGCATTCCTTAAATATTAAGATACTGTGGCTAAACGGCCCATGTTCAATATTTGACTAAAACACTTTATTAGCGTTGCTGCATAAAATAAAATTACTAACCTGTAATCATCATGAGATGTTGGATATTCCTCCGTTTGCATCATGTGATCTTCGCCGGAAATGTAAGACAGGTTGCAGTCTTCCATCATTCCCTGCGGAGAAGAAAATAAATTGTTAAACACGAGATTATGCTGAAATTGATTTACTAATATAAATAAATAACGATATAGTATGTCTTTATTCTATCTTGGTAATATTTAGAATTCCTTTTAAAAACATCGTTTTATTAATCTGCAACCGTTACAAAATGAAGTTTCGTTGACCGGAGAAGTAACTGCAAAAGGGCACATATAGGTATCCTATTTTTTGGAATTTTATTGCTAATGATTAGGAATAAATGAATAAGCCTATAGGCAAGTGAATGTATGACCTTTAAATTATAATTAGACCTATAATATATAAGTAAGTGAAAGCATGATCACACAAAGTTCAAACTCGTGAAATCGACCAAACATTATAGAACCAGAATTCACTTATTCCTCTTCGTCTTTGTCGCTGCTGCTGCTTTTACAACTGTCGCAAATGAGATGCTTATATCGCTATCTATTGGAGGCCTTAAGATTTTTCTAACATTACCCGCAGTCACATTTATCGATACCCAGAGACCGAAATGGGATTATTTTACGTCACCACCAAACAGGTCTTTTTATATTAATAACTTATAAATTAATGTTATTATTAATTACTTGTAATATTACGTTAGGTTACAAAGTGTTTTCATGAAGAAAAAACAATGCAGTTGCAAAGTGCTTCCCACTAGCAAACGCTCGAACATATTTAATGAAAGTGAACGACCCTTCACATAACGCCTCCGCAAGCAAGGACTTGTTTGTTCTAATCTATAGATAAAGAAAGTAAAGAACTATACCTGGAGGTTTCGTTTCAGTGCTTCGCTGTAGCCATGAGGGCTTGTCATCATTGGAGGACTTTGCGCTCCCATGAATCTGTTAACATAGCACAAACTATTAATTTTTGCCGAACATCATAATAAAAAGTTGATTCAAAAGGTGACATTTCTAAGACTGAACATTTGACTGAATTCGATGGAAATTAAAGTTTAAGAAAGGGAGATTATAATTTGACTGTTGGCAACTATAGAACTGGTTTGTGTGGTAAAAATAATTCAATCATACCCAGATAAGTTCAGACATCTTCTGTGAGTATAGATGTAATAACAATAAGTGTGAACTGTTTCAGTGTTATACCTGTGCAGTGTTGAATTTGGAATGAAGAAGTCCAATCATTTTATGTTAAAGAGTTAAAGAAAGTAATTTAAGTGGTGTATGTGTCAAAAGATAAAAGATAAATAGAAAAAATAGATTATAAAAATGCAAGCATATCAAAAACTGATTAAAAACACTAACTAGCATGCGACAAAGATGCACGTGCAAAGCGTAATAAGCAAGACCACTTACCTGAAGTGATCGTAGGATTATGCATGCATATGTGAAAGATGGGGATAATAAAATATTAAATGATCTCTTTACTCTTACTTGGGTATCCAACGACGATCCTTTGTTAAAATAAATCGTATCAAATGCAACGGACATGCATAAAATCGGTACTAATAGATATTGACACGTTTTCAACATTTCGGATATATAATATCGTGACGTTTCAACAAATACAAATCAAAGGTGTTTCGGTATTACAATAGCAACATATTATGAATTAAGCTTATTTATTAGAATAATTCGATCGAACAGTGATGTTAAAATCTATAGCAAAACAATTGGGTTATAGCTTCGCACTCTAGAAGTCTAGAAATACTGGAATGTGCTTAAGTTACTTTAATATGAATTATTCTGGGATTGATTAAGTGTTGTAACGTAAACACATACAGTATTATAACTTACTATATTATGTTATAAACACGTGTTTGAACTAGTTACAATCTAACATAACAAATTTAATATGTCTAAGCTTACACAGTGATACACTTTACATAATGGTCAGAAACATCGATCTAATTTAAGACGAAACCAAAAATTATATTTTAATATTTTTATTGATAATTTTTGGTTTATTCCGAACGATTCACAGACAGTAAAACTCTATTTTGGACGCGATCGTCCAACGATTCCAAAATTTGCATTATATTATTAAAATAGCGTAAGAAATGTTACAAATAATCAAACATTGATATTAACACGCACGTTCCTTAAAACAATATTCGAATCAAATATTGTTGATATTTATGTCGATCTTCTTTTTTTGAAATACTTGTGGTACCAAGCATTGGAATCGAAAATAAAATGGTGATTTCAAAAGAACATAATTATACGGTAAATCTTGATTAAAGTATTTAAGATTTGGTAATTTGATGAAACGACCACAAATATGTCGCTAAAAGGTCCGGCAAGTTAGGAATGAGTTTCGTTGGACGGTCGCAAGTTGTGATGCTGCAGCGGTGGGCCCTTACTGTGCAGGAGCGGTGTTAGGCCCCGGAGCTGGTTCATACTTTCGCGGCCTGCCTCGGCTCAGATGACGTCTCTTCACAAACTCCGCGTCGTCCACCATCCAGAACGATCCGAAGTCGTCTTCGTAGCGCACGAAACATTTGTGCAGGGACAGGTTCGTCCGGATCGCATTCTACAATTCGATTCCGTTTAACAACAACATCGACAATACTCGCCACCGCGAGCAAATCGATCTGGAATTCAATTCGCTTGATTGACTTATCGATTATCTCAACCTGTGCTTCAATCGATCGATTGTCATATTTTACATGTACACTTGCAACTAATTGAATGATACAACGATGGAAGCACATTTAGATCGTCGTGGAGATTTCATTAAAATACCGTCATGCAGGAATCGCCCAAGAAGAGAGACCCCAGATCAAAGGAAAGGAGTGATTGAGAGGAGCGAGGTTAATAGGCAAGCGAGAAAATATGTTATTCACCGTTGCGCCGAAATCCACGAACACACACAATAACGAGACCTAAATACGAAAATTACAAGACCCCACAAAATGCAACGCTAACACTGAGGCTCGATCTGCAAAATGGCGTCAGTGGTAATGTTGCTTACAAATTCGATTCAAAATTACACTACACAAATAATTACGAAATTCAAAATCTGAAACGAGATAAAACGTTTATTTACACAATAAGAGTTAGGTACATGTCTAGGTTAGATAGAAAATATTTAAAAGAGGAGATTTAATGATGTTGTATATCAAAAGTGTTGTGTTACCTTTCAAGTGTAGAGAAGTCAGTTATGTTAAAGTTCTTCGTTTTTAAGTTGAGTGTTAATGCAATTTTATGTGTGTATTTAAATAATTGTGTATATTGTGTGAAAAAATCTAGTATTGAGAATAATACAAGAAACTTCCATAGATTTACCTCCACAGTGCAATAAATTACAACGATTTGTAACATAGAATACTATAATACATACATAATAGAACGGGGGAGTGGATGGAGCCTACGTAGCTACTAAAATGTCACTAACACGTCAATTCACACGTATAAATGTCAACACGAGATGTGTTTTGACGTTACTTAATAAATTATTTAGAAAATGCCAAATTGCACCCTATTTACAAATAAATACGTATTAAATTTTAATGATGATCTTGAACATTAATCAAAAGTCTAAAATGTGTAAATTTACTCAGTCTGTCAACACAGCGAATCGAGTTTGGCGAAGCCAATCCTCGTATAAAATAAAGTTGATAGCCATTCTATTGTATATTATAGTATTCTATGATTTGTAACAACAAACAAAATAATCATTACGTTACGTTAATTTTGAAAAAGTATTTCAGGTGTATTAATTGAAGTAAAATTTATTTAAAGAGTTATACTGCGCTCTTTGAGTTATGACTTAAGTTCGTGTGATATCGTGAGCCATATTAAGTGATAAACTTGTTAAGGTATTAAGTAGAATTAAAATGCATTACTACAATTACAGTATAAAATGTGAGATAGTTAAGTATATTATAAGAGAGGTATAGTGGACCTACTGAAGGATTGCTAAAGTGTCAGTATATCATTTCATTTAGTGTCTTTTTGTAAGTTTAATAGTGTTATGTTGCATTGTATAAAATTGTGGAATCGATGTTCGTATTGTTGAGCGTAACAAATGAGTGAGACATATTAAGGTATGATATATTTCTACTGATAATTGTATTGTGTATTGTAAGTATATAATAAGTCGTAAGTGTGACAAGTGCATTAAATATAATGTTTTCGGGTTCATTTCTTAATAATTGTTAAAGTCTTTTAAGTGTCGTAATTCGAAAAGTAATGAAGTGTAATTGTGTTAAGTGTTATAACGACCCAAATAACAAATTTTCATGTTATTGTTCCACTGTTATGAAAGGTGCCAAATTTTTGTTTCTAGTATGAATAGACATTATTAGTGTACTAAGCGTAATACGTGTATTAAATGTAAAAAAATAACTAAGTGTTAAAGGCGCCAAGAATGAAAAATAACCAGTGTGAAGTATCATAAGTTTATCAAGTGTGATAAGTTTATCGAGTGTGACGACTGACGAGTTCATCAAACACGACAAATGTATCAATTGTGACGAGATTATTAAGTATCAAGTGTATTAAGTGTGAAAAGTGTTACAAGTCATTAATATGTGCCAAGTGGTACAAATATTTAGTGTAGTATTTAGTAGTTTAGTGGTACAAGTTTTACAAATGTTTTAAGAGTGACAAGTGTTCAATGTATTTAATGCGTAGCAAGTATTACAAATATTTCAAGTGTGACAAGTATTTCAAATATGACAATTGTTTCAAGTATGACGAGTATTTCAAATGTTACAAGATTTTCAAGTGTGACAAGTGTTTCAAGTGTGACGAGTGTTTCAAGTTAGACAAGTGTTTCAAGTCTCTTACGTATGACTAGTTTTCAAGCGTTATAAGTGTGAGATGTGTTTTAAATGCGACGAGTATTTAAATTTGTGGCAAGTGTTTCGGGTGTGTGAAGTGTTTCAAGTGTGACGAGTGTTTTAAATGTGACGAGTGTTTCAAGTGTGACAAGGTATTCAAGTGTGACAACTGTTGTAAGTATATCAAGTGTGACAATTATTTAAGTGTGACAAGTGTTTCAAGTATGACAAGTGTTTCAAGTGTGACGAGTAATTCAAGTATGATAAGTGTTTCAGGTGTGACAAGAGTTCCAAGTGTGAAGAGTGTTTCAAGTGTGACAAGAGTTTCAAGAATGAAGTCTGTGGCGGGCCCGTACCCCGCGTGCATCGGCGGGGGCGCGTGCGCGGCGCGCTGCGGCCGGCGCTTGTAGAACTCCACCTCGTCCACCGTCCACACGGCGCCCTTCACGTTCTCCACCCGCATGAAGCACTTGTGCAGCGACAGGTTGTGACGGACCGCGTTCTGGCATTACGCTTTTACATTTTTATGTGCTCGCTGTGTTTTTTTTTTTTTTTGGTAAATACATTAATTTTTGTATGAACCGACCCCGTAACGAATTATTAACAGAAGCTGTGATTTAACGGGTTTTAAGAGTATGTAAAAGTAAAATAATCTTCATGGGTCGTGTTGTTAAACATTGGCCTCTTCTGGATTTTGAAGAGGATTGGACGTTAATTATTTTTTTTATTATGTCTCTATTTTTATAACGATAAAGTAATTTTGACTTATTTTATACTTTTAGCTCTTTGAATAAAACAAACAAAAAAGTTACTTTTAGCTTGTATTGTAAGCTGTATTGCTTGTATGTAACACACATTACACGATTTTCCTTTAAAGTACGAGTAATTCTATTTTAAATTAGGCTTTATCATTCGTCATAGTTCTGATTTGCTTGTTATCGTTTTTAACATTTTAAAAGTAACAAAATATTGATTTTGTAAAAATATTAAAATATATATTGCCGATTAATAAATTGATACTCGTTTAATTTTAAGCTGAGTAAATTTTAATTCGTTAGCGTATTTTATTACAGTTAAGTACAAAGTTTGAAACTAATTTCACATAAAAAATACACAGTAACTTAAGTAACAATATCAGTAATAACAAATATTTTTCATTTCTTCGTCATAGAGAATCGTTTCTCAATTGTGTAAAAATATTTTAAGTGTGGATAGTATTAAAAAGATAATAAAAGTTATTCTGTTTCCAGATGACAAAGAAATGAACATCAAATCTAAAAAGAGAACACAATTATGAAAATATTGTTTACCTTAGTGTTTGTCTTCTGTACATGTAATTTAAAACACGTATCGAAAATTGAGAACATTGAACATTAGTAACTACACATTGCTTCTACCGTTTCATTAATATTTATATATTAACATTTTAAGATTTTTATTATGAAATTTAGAAAAACCTACCTTCCATGTTGCTGCATTCCGTCGGAAGTAGCAGAATGTGCTCTGGAACCAGTTGTAGATTTCATTCAGGGTTAATTGTTTGTCTGGAGATTCAATTATTGCCTGCAAATAATATAATGTGTGTAAACAAAAAATTTAAATAAACAATAAAGCTGTGGACTTGGGATGATGCCCCTGGAAACACCATTTTAATTATTGTGCCTAATAGAAGAACCGAAAAGGATTTTTTTAATAGCTTATACATATTTTGTCCGAGACTGAACTGTTTATAAAAACATTCAAATAAACAAACTCTTTATAAAGTTCTTTAATTTAAAATACATCAAGTATATCGATAGCTACTCGAGGAAACGTTTCATGGTATTTTTAAAATTTTATAAGGATTACATCTTCGTGTATTGGCAGCGTAGGAGAATTCATCAACTCATTTTGTCCTTTGGGTGCCGTAAGAGGGGATTATGAGAAATGCCAGAGAGATCGATCAGAACAGTGACGGTATAATCATCGCTTGAAAAATTCCCACACTGATGATAAAGAGTAAGAAAATGTGAAACGCAATGGGATCGCCAATATGCCTGCCGATCAAGATAATTTTGGCAAATCTTTCATAAAACGAAAGAAAAACGAAAGAGAACCATATTTCTCAATGGGACTATTTCGGACTGGCGACGAAAACAAGAGTGAACATTTAAAAAGTATTTAAAACACATCTTAGAAATAAGTAAGCCGTGGTAACTCAGGCGCTAAGCGATCGCTGTAAATTTTACAGTACGCGAGAAATCCAGGTTCAATCCTCACCGGCACCAATGAAATTGTTAGTTGTAATTTTAAGTGCCGATTTATCGCATGCTTGTTGGTGATATAAAACATCGTGAGGAAACCTGCATGTCTGAGAAATAAGAAAAAATATATTTCAAACATGTGAAGTTCGCCAACACGCATTGTGGCAGCGCGGCGGACATTTCCTTGCCCTAAAACCCTTTCAGAAATGAGAGATCTTTGCCCAGATGTAGAACGTATATATGTATATACGCTGTTACTTTATTTACTTTTAGAAAAAGGAAGAGGTGCTCCATTTTTAAGGTTGGCTTTAAATGTATAATTGTGAATCAATTTCAATGATTATTTTTAATTAAATATACCATGGCCATACTCTAAGTTTGGTCCCGTTTAAATACGAAGAAAAATTCCAGCCACTTGAGAAATGGTTATATTATGTGAAATTTTTTTTATTCATTATAGTTATTTCAAGTCGGTTTTCATGTACAACATTTGCATTGGCATAACAGCACAAACCCACAATTTTGATGTTTTTTTTAAAATTATAAATGTGCTCATTCTTGACCTCCGTCTGAGGTTTGTATAAAGTTAGTAGCTTTCCAGGCATGAAGTATCGCTTCACCTTGTTTGAAAATCCCAGTTTTTGCCCGTAGTTTGTGCTTTCGACTCAATGTCAGCGCCAAAGTTGAGGTTAGCCCTCAACTGTAACAACTATAGTCGTAACAGGAACGGGTCGGCTCAACCGGGGAAGGACCACGCTCTCACAGAATACGAGCGTCAAATACTAGCTTAATGCTGCTGTGTTTCGTATGATGAGTGTAGAAAACCGGAGGACCCTTTTTACTGGAAACGAGGCATTCCATTTTATTCCTCACGAGTGACAACGCATCTGAATTTTGATTCGTAATCGAGGATAGATGTAGATGTCTATGGGCCACAGCAACCACTTACGATCAGGTGGACTGTGTGCCCGTTTGTCACCCTATCTTATAAAAAAAACTGTATGCCTAGAAGCTCAAGATTATCAGTAACCTCTACAGATGTACCTCGGAAAGTAAGAGTTCGATCAAATGGACTCCAGTTTGCGGTGAACAGTCATGCCTTCGTATTGGCGGTATCAAAAGTGACCAAATTGTCGCTACCCAATTTGGAGACCACACTTAAGGTCGCATTTATCCGCATCACCATGGCCTCTCTAAATGAAGGTATTACTGCCCTTCCATCTTTTGCACTGGACATGGACATCTTTCTGTGACTGTACTGTCATCTGCACACTCAACAATACCTGGTAAAAGTAGGTCATTGATGTGCAGCAGGAAAACAGTCGCAGGGAGAACAGACCCCTGGGGAACTCCTTCATTATATGCATTAGGTTAGAGGAGCAGCCATCTAGGAGTACCGTGATCGACCATTAACTCAGAAACTCAAATATCTAGTTGCGAAAATTCGGTGGAGAAGCTGAGGGGAAGCTTACTCAGCAGACTTGCGTGCCAAACCCTGTCAAAAGCCTGTGAGATATCGAGTAAAACTGCGAGAGCTGCACCGCTCTTCTCGACAGCCTTGCCGTAAATGTGCGTGACATACACAAGCAGATCCTCAGTGGACCGTCTCCAGCGGAAGCCATATTGGTGGTCACTGAGGAGTTCATTTGTTTCAAGATATGTCAGCAGCTTACTGTTTAGTACTCTTTCCATCATTTTACAGAGTATGGAGGCGATGTCGATTGCGATGATGCGATGTAACAGAATTATTTTTGAACAGTGGTCAATTTGGGGATAATAACTTGAATTACATACCTGGCGGATAAGGGAAGCATAAGTAAATGGAGGACGCACGTCAGCAGTTTTGTAGAACTCGCGATTACGCTGAATCTCTGCAACATAATCAAACACGCAATATTAATTTCTGTATACGCAGGTCACTTGTAACACATCTTATTAAGAAACAAAGAATATGTTTAATTATTTGCTGCAACTTGCAGAATATCAATCTTTCAAATAAAAAATATGTAACTAAATATTTAAAAAATAATGGATTCCAGAAACAATAAGGTCAATGACTCAGCATAATAATGTCCTCCAGACCGAATGCAGGCCACGGCGGCCTGCCTCAATCGGAGGCTAGCCATCGGCGTAGGACAGCACTATAGTGCCCAAGTGTATGCGCAAGCACAGGTGCGCTCTCTATTCCCTCACTCTCGTAATTCGATGGACGGTAAACCGACACGACCGGAGAGAGATCAGGCGCAGGACCAACGGCTTTACGTGGTTTCCGAGGCACAGGGGTGAGACTCCGCAAACTTCCTGACTCCACTGACAATTTCTTGACGGAAAAACTCAATAATTAATTTTTTGGCCCGACCCGGGATTCGAACCCAGGACCTCATGATCAACAGTCGTACTACTACAACCACTAGACCAACGAGGCAGTCATAAGTATTATGACTCAGCAACACTGCAGTGACAGAGTTACCGCAGCTCTGATATTCTGTAGGAGGCATATATTAAGTCGACTCGCAAGCAATCGCTGGACATAATTTAGAAGCTAATTTATTACTTATAATTAATAATAACTTAAACAAAGTTAAAATTAAATCTAATAGATAGGAAGGTATAACAATTCTTCATAATTTTAAATTACCTTGTTGTACATCTAATCCAGCTCTTTCGAGCATATAAGGAAGACCTTAGTGACAGAAGAATAAGATAATTGAACAAAATGTCTTATAATTTGTTTTAATTCGTTTTTTCATCTACATAAAACATTTTATTAGTTTCTTTTAAATTTACAATTTATCTTACCGCCAGCTATAGCGACGCCAGATTTATCAGAAACTCGGCGCCTTACTGGTCCAGGTGAAGCACCTTCACTTGCCCCACCTACAATTGATGCAAGTAAATAAATTAATAAAGTAAAAAAATAATATGACAGCCTATACGTCCTCTAAACGTTACGGACCAAATGTCTTATCTAAAAAAGGCAAATAAATTTTGCGTATAGAGCAACAAATAACAACGTAATAATAATTTGTAAGTAACAATTAGATACAGCCATATAGTAACAGATAGACAATCACTGAACGTGATAACCCCGGTTCAATCCCCGTCGTCATCAATGGAATTCGAGAGAAAGTAGTATATAGGCTCTAACTTTACTTTAAAATCTTTATAACGTAATTCTAAATTAGTTTTTAGGGTTAGAAAATATTTGTAAACATAATCAATTGTTTACATAGGATTATGATAAAAAAAATACGTGTGGCACTCTGTGACTGCCGCGGTAAAGCTATTGCATAGCATTTTTTATCAACTTATGCAATTATAATTATTTATTTATTTTATTTATGCAGTTAAGTCTTTGATATTAAATCAAGTTACACTTTTTGAGCGTGGTGACCGATAAGAAAACAATTTTTTTTCTCTTATTGAATAAATGAGATATTGTTTAAAATATTTTTAATATCTTACAATACATGTAGGTTATTCAGGAATTTTTATCATTGAGTTAGCAGCTAGTGTACACGCATACGTCTAGTCGCACGCACACAAACACCGTGCCGAACAACGCCAAACCTCCGAGCCCGTCGGAGTGGGGAGCGTGAGGTTTTTTTCGTTACGGAATTTCTGGATTCGGTCCCCGCGCTCAAGGCCTGCGATAGAAGCTATGCAATAGCTTACAAATAATGCGTAAGATCATAACATTAAGGCGCTACCTCCAGCGAACGACCTTGAGAGTTTGGTCTGTCGAAGCTCACTACAATATATCGCGTAAGAAATCGCCAAAAGACGCCACCTACTGCTACGAACGTAGTATTATTTTTTCAATGTCAATGAACTATTCAATGGAAATAGACACGGCGTACAATGATAAATGTATTTTAATTTTCTTTATTCGGTATATTAGTTGCATTATATTAGAATTATGTATTCTAATATATTATATAATTAATAAAAATGACTATTTTGATTATTTTTAACTATATACTATACTGCTAATATTGAATTAGCTTTTTATAGTGTAAATTATAATATTTGTCGAAATATTAATTATGGATTCGAACTTTACATGCTAATGGTGCTTCATTTTTGTTATTTTCATTTACTTACATATTGAAAATATACTTGAATAGTAAGTATTATTATTTTATTTAGCTACTGAATTTTAGGATATGTTTTACCTTGAGGTCAAATATAATTTTGATGAGCAATAGTTATTACCTACTAATCTTAAATCTGGCTATTCCTTATTTAGGAACAATATTAGTAAATTGAGTTTGAGGGAGATTTACTGTTTACTACATTTATTGTTTTAATATTTACCTACTGGGTAGGTAATTATTAAAATAATAAATATAGCATTAGTAACTAAATAGATATTTTTTTTAAATTTTTAAAATTAAAATTTTCGTATTTTTAAAAATTACTAAAAAAAAGGGTTTGAAATAATAGATTTTCTCACAAAAGAAAGGAACTTGAAAAAAAAGGAAAAAAAAAGCGGGACCAAAGCCAAGACGCGAACCACGGAACTCTGATATCACGCCGACCGACATACCACCTGAGCTATAACGACCGTTAGTGATTTGTCGAAATTTACCTTCTTATATTGTAGCAGTTTTTTTATTGCTTGAAAACATGGACAAAAGGACATTTTAAAAAAAATCCAAGCGTTCGTCGCTAAAATCGTTGGAGCCGTATAATTTTCTCATCGGTTCGGTTATATAAATATTTAAATATATAAAAATTATAAATTAAAATGAAAAGATAAATATACATAAATATCAATAAAATAAAATAAATACAAAATAATTTATTATTATTATAAGTTGTGGTTCGGTGAAGCTGCAACGTAATGGACCATGATCTGAAATTTTTATGAAAAGAAGTTGCTGACGTCAATTATTATTATTCTTATTATTTTTTCATTACTGCCTTTTTCAAACTCACAAGATATTAGTAACTGCAAAAAAAGAAAACTACGTATAAGTAAGTAAATCAGTAATATAGTGTTATGTATGATTCAGACTAAATAAAGGTTCCTTAAAATAGACGTAGATAAAGAAATTGCATAAAAAAGTTACTCAAATAAAAATGCAATAAACTTGTTAATTTTATAGGTACTTAGTAAAATATTAAAATAATAAGTTTTTAGGATATTTATGTAAAACATAAAGGTTATATTATGTTCTAACTACGTTCACGCTTGCGCATATAAAACCGCGGAATTTCACTAGTTTTATTATTAAAATAATAATTGACAACCCCTACCGTTTTTCCTTTGCCGTTTTTTTTACCGTTTGCCTTGATTTTACCAACTCAAACTCGTTTTAGGAGATCAAAACATAGAGAGAAAGATAGAAGACTATTTTTTATTTAATATGGTTGGATCTTTATTTATTTGTAAGTATATTTTTTGTATTTATTTTATTTTATTGATATTTATATATATTTATCTTTTCATTTTAATTTATATTTATAAAAACCAACCAGATGAGAAAACTATACAGATACCCCAACAATAATAATATAATAATAATAATATTCCACAACTATCACACAACGCCATCTAGTCCCAAGCTAAGCAGAGCTTGTATTATGGGTACTAGACAACTGATAAACATACTTATATATTTCTAAATACATAAATATTATAGATAAATTACACCCAGACACGACCTGCGGCATAGCAGTCAGGGTCACTAACAACTAGACCAACAGGCCTGACGATAAATAAAATAATGTCTCTAGCTCGAGAGGAGAGGAGCCGTGGTAGCTCAGATGGTTAGCGCTTGCTAAAATTTTCACAGTGTGCCAGCAAACCGGGTTCGATCCCCGCCGGCACCAATAATATTGTAATTGCAATTTTAAGTGTTGATTTACCCCGTGCTCAGTGGTGAAGGAAAACATTGTGAGGAAACCTGCATGTCTGAGAAATGAGAAAAAAAATATTTCGAAGACATGCAAAGTTCGCCAACACGCAGTGATAATTCCTTTCCTAGGACCCTTTCAGAAAATAAAATAGAAATAAAAAAATAATAAATCCAAACTTCATTTAAAACCAAACATATAAATTGTAAAGTAGCTGCAGGTATCTATAACTTGTCCATGTTTCCCAAAACAATTTTTAATTTATATTATAATGCGGATTTTTTATATTTAAAATTTTAATAATAAAGCATTTCGTACGTCTCAGCCGAGGCGCAAATATTTTTCGGCCGCAAATTTATAAGACCGATTTGTTATTGAAACATAAACATGGTTTTTTAATTAAATCTACCAATCATAAAACGACACGCATTTTTATTGAACACTTCCTATTCAATTCACAAAGTACCTATTATATATTTGTTTATATAAAAAAGTATATTTAAGTACAATCATAAAACTAAATGGAAACACAAAGTAGGAAAATGCATTGAGTGTTTTATAACACATAAATCAATGGGCAAATGTAAAAAATCTGGAGGCAGGCATCCCTATCGCATGTTTACGTACCGCACGGCTGTAAGATTTATTTCTAAGATACGGCCGAGTTACAATATACCGTGACGTAAGCGCATCGGCGACCAGCGACGCGGCTACCTCGTATGAACGCATACAGAGTAATGCCGCCCGCACTCTGCGCACGCCCCTTTATCATAGAAGTCACACAATTTTCTGAATTATTTCAATTAATTATTTAAGAGAAAAAACGAACTTAAAAATTTAAATAAGACGTGGAGAATATAGATTTTTTAATTATCTATCATATTTTATACCTAAACAGCACAATACATAAAATAATATCTACTATAATAAAGTCTACTGGTGAACATGATGTATCCCATATAGATTATTTAAGATATTTGCTATAGCTGTTATAAAACCTAACCTTATATATCCTATACCTTTAAATGAGGAATTCTTGTATATATATATATATATATATATATATATATATATATATATATATATATATATTTAAATATATATATATACAAGAATTCCTCGTTTAAAGGTGGAGACGCCAGTAACTTAAGGTATCTTCGATAAAGATTTAGTGGACTGTAATTTTGGTGCATACGGCAAAGGGGAAAATAAATAGGTGGGATAGCACGCACTGACCTGATGAGGGCTGCCTCGCCTTCCTCCTGGAGTGTCTGCTATACAGCGAGCTCGCCACGTGGTTCGGCGCACACGCACTCTCGGAACAGTTTCGTGAAGTCCCACACTCTCGACCTTTGCCCTTACGGGGGCGTCTCACACTTTTATGAGTTACAAAGACACAATGTCTGATGCGGTGAGTATTAAAGATAAACAGGAGAACTTAATGTTCGTCCTGCGCGGTTTGCGGTTAATATATATAAGACGCGACGGCTGGCCGTGCGTTGCGGATGGCGTAATGTCACTTAGTATAATGACGCGCGCCGAGATCCTTTCCTTCACCTCGGCGGCAGCGCGTGCGGTAGGAAAGGGAAGGAAGGAAGGAAACAAAAATATGCACTAGTCATGTTGATAAAGTAGTAGAAACTTAGGACGAACTCAATGCGATGAGTAATGTAATGTTGATAAAGTAGATTGTTAACTGGCGTTACCATTTCCTCCCGCCCTTAAAGGGTCACCTTTAAAAGACAACCGTAATATAAAAAGAAAAGGAAAACAAATAAATAAGCGGTATATAAAGTGAGAGGATGCGCTCAATGCGCGTGTGTCATCTACTAACCCTACTTGGTAAGCAAGAAAATGTATACATAAATATAATATTGCGGTTTAATACTTTTTAATATATAAATATAAACTTAATTCCTAATTTAGATAAATAATTATAATCAAATAATCGTGATTTATTGTCTTGGGAGAGGGCAGATACGAGCAACAGGACGGAGATATGTTCCCTTAGTAGT